TCCCCTGGGATATATATACCTGAACCAGAATTACCGTATGAGTATTCTTACTTTAACTAAGTGATGACAAATTGACTGTGATGTCAGCTCTTCCACAGAGGAGCATGATGGTGCCTCTGTCCCCACACCCCACCAACATTTGTCATTATCCAACTTTCTCATTGTTTTCCAATTAACAGCTATAGTGAAATCTCAGTGTTTTAATGATTTTCCTTGGGTTTTGCCCGTGTTGGTCCTTTTTATAGCTTTTGAGGGGCACTATAAATGGAACCCAGGGGCACTTTTACCACTGAGCTACATCCTCAGCCCTTATTTTTCTTTTATTTTGAGATAGGGTCTTGCTAAGTTACTGAGACTGGCCTTGAACTTATGATCCTCCTGTTTCAGCTTCCCTAGTCACAGGAATTAAATGTGTGTGCCACTGCAACCTACAAACTGATCTTTTTATATATCATTAAATGAAGATACTGACTTATTTTACTCCACAGAGACCCTTTTGCCCATGCCGGCAGTTAAGCAATCTATTCTTTTCCTCTTGATTTGTAGTGCAGAGCCCCGTGATTCTGAGCATTTCCTGCAATGCCCATTAGCTTTTTAAAATTTTTTAATTGGTTTTAATTAGTTATAGATGGCAGTAGAGTATATTTATGCACTTTTATATATCATACATAGATGGGATGTAATTTCTCATTTTTTTGAGTGTACATGTTACAGAATAATATTGGTCATGTAGTCACAAATATGCATACAGTAACAATGTCTGTTTCATTCTACTATCTTTCCTATCCCCACATCTCCTCCTCTCCCCTCCTATCACTTCCCTTTACCTAATCTAAGGTAACACTATTCTTCCCTAATGCCCCCCACCTTATTGTGAATTAGCATCCACATATTAGAGAAAACATTCAGCCTTTGGTTTTGTGAGATTGCCTTATTTTGCTTAGCAAGATGTTCTCCAACTCCAACCATATACTGGCAAATGCCATAATTTTACTTTTCTTTAAAGCTGAGTAATATTCCATTGAGTATATATACCACATTTTCTTCATCCTTTCATCTATTGAGGGACACTGAGATTGGTTCCATGGTCTAGCTATTATGAATTGAGCTGCTATAAACATTGATGTGGCTGCATTACTATAATATGCTGATTTTAAGTCCTTAGGGTATAAAATAAGGAGTGGGATAGCTGGGTCAAATGGTGGTTCCATCCCCAGTTTTCCAAGGAATCTCCATACTGCTTTCCGTAGTGATTGCACCAATTTGCAATCCCATGGCAATGTATGAGTGTGCCTTTTTCACCGCATCCTCGCCAATCTTTATTGTTGCCTATATTCTTGATGATTGCCATTCTGACAGGAGTGAGATGAAATCTAGAGTAGTTTTGATTTGCATTTCTCTAATTGCTAGAGATGTTGAACACTTTTTATATATTTGTTGATCAATTGTATTTCTTCTTCTATGAAGTGTCTTAGCCTTTCAGTTTCTTAGCCCTTCCCTCCTGTAAGTGGCAGAAACAAATCTGTAGTCCATCATTTCTTGTGAATTCTCTAAGAATTCTTTGTATGCACTGGATTTTAATCCTTTCATGGTTTGCAAATGCATTGCAAATATATTCTGTCAGTTATCTATTAACTTTACAGTGTTTCAATGGACAGAAATTCTTAATTCTTATGTAATCAAATTTAGAAAATTTTTGCCTTAAAATTCATGATTTCAAAATGTTATTTAGGAAATTCTCTCAAAAAGCTGGAAGTGTAGCTCAGTGGCTGAATGTGTTTAGTACACATGAGGCCCTGTGTTCAATTCCCAGCACCAAACCAAACAAAACCACATCCACCTCTATTCCCAGATCATAAACATAACCTCTTACATTATTATTATCTTCTACCAACTTTTTAGTTCTAATTTTCATGTGTAAATGCCACTGATAGGCCATCTTTTTAGATGACATTAAGTGGGGATACATCATCTGTTAAACAGTTTGTTCTTTTCCCATTGATTTGTGCCAACTTTATCACATATTAAGTTTCTTTAAATGGCAGGGTCTTTCCCAGATCCCTGAGGCCTCTTGAGGAAGAAAGGTGAGGATCATCCTCACTGGCACAGAGGGGAGTGGTGTCAGCTGTACTTTCCAGTGTGGGGTCACCAGAGGCCTAGAAGCTGCTGAAGAAAGACAACTCCCTGGTGACCCCAAGAGTGGGGGCTGGGTAACAGTCCCTGGGGACACAGTTGGAGACCATGGCCTCAGTTTAGCCCCTGCTCATGGGGAGGAGGGGTATGGGATGGAAAAGAGTTCAAACCCTTCATCTGTTTGCAGAGTGGCATCAGAATTTCCACATAGAAGTCACTCTGGGGAAGGGGCAGCTGGGGGACCTGACTTGGAACAGCCATTGCATACTCAGGGTGCTAGGTCAGCCTCCACCTTTTGCTCATCTGGAGACATGCTGGATAGGAGCAGTTGTACAGCCCTCACTGTCACTCTGTTGTGGTGACATTCCCTCTTTGCCTGGTGCTCCTTACGCACCTCCCCAAGCCACTTCTACCTTCCCCAGAGTCCTCAGCTTCCCCCTGTGCCACTGGAGTCCACGCTGGACAATCGATCATTTAATTCAGCCCCTGCCTCTCTCCTCCCTAAAGGATAACCTCCTCATGGCCTTCCAGAGCCTGCCTGAGCAGTCAGCACAGAGGTAGGCAGGCAGCGAATGCTAACTGGTAGATGGGTCCATTCAGTGAGAGGTTGCATGGGCTCCACCTCAGTTGGAGGCACCAGGAAGGGTGTGGAGGAAGAACTTTCCACCCCATCTCCCCTTAGCCTTCTATTCAATTTGATTTAATCCCCATAAAATGAGTAAATGAAACCATGCTGTTGAGATGGACAGTGAGAACATACAGGGTTGGAGACCTAGGTTTCTATGCAGTGACTAGACTGGATGGGGTGGGATTGATGGCTTTGCCTGGGCTCCTTCCACAAGAAGAGGAAAGTTTTAGAGTTTAGGGCTTGGCCTGGACCTGACTAGAGGGAAGGTTGGAGGAGTGGAGGGAATGGGGGGCCAGTGGGACCCCATCATTTGCAGGACAGTGTAGTGCTGTGGGTCAGGCGGCCAAACAATTCCAGGGTTCATCTCCTATTGTTCTGGCCTCCATCTCCCCCTTCATTTCCTAGCCTCCCACCCTATTTCCCCTACATGGTTGCCACCTCACCTCCTAACTGAGCCCCTGTCTCAACATCAGTCAGCCTTTTCTTCTTAAAATTGAGCTTTGATCATAACACTCTCCTGCTCAGAAACCATCAATGACTCTCCACGGCCTAGAGAATAGGTCCAAATTTAAAGCATGGCCTTGGAGAGGTGTGACTAGATAGATTATTCTATCTTTCCAGATTTTTTCCTTCACAAACCCTGCTTTCTCTCTGTCCAACTTCCACTACTCCATGTCTCACTCTCTACCCCACATATCTCCTCCCACACAACTCACTACTCAAACACTGGGTCATTTGCATATCCTGCTTTCTGGCCTCCTTGCCCTTGCTCATGCTATTCCTTCCTCCTGGGATGCCTTTCCCCCCTATCATTAGTTGAAATCATACCCATCCTTTAGGGCCCAGTTCAGATGTCACCTCCTCTAGGAAAGCTTCTTGGATTCACTCTTTCCCTCCCCAACTGGAATCCATTTTCTATCTTCTGTGGTCTCCAGACAGTGAGAGAATTCTGTAAACTACAAATCTTTACAGATTCTGTAAACTACAATGAAGAAATTATATTGATCCTCCTATGATACCTCCTAATTATCACAGGGAGCCCAAGACCTCAGACCCTCTGAGGGATTGGATGCATCTCACTCCCCAGCTGACTTCAGCAACTTGAAGGCTGAGTTTTCCTCTCTTAGTAGCACATTGTGCAGTAAGTGCTCATTATGTGCACAAATGAGAGTGAATTTGTGGAATCTGCTGAGGAATGTGGGTGCTATACTTGTGTCCTTGGCAGTGAGTAAATGGCAGGACAGGAGGGAAGCTTCCAGGTCAGCAGGCTCAAGGCCCCATCCTCTCTCTGGAGGGCCAGGCACATGAAAAGTCTTCCAGATACCACTGACTGGGTCCCATCCTGGCATTTGGACCCATTCTTCCCTGTGTTCAGATCTCACCCTGAGTTCCTTAAAATCATTCCTATCTATGGGCCAGAAAAGCCGGTTGTGGGACCTCAGGCAAGAGTTCGGACAGAAACTCCCATTTACACAGCCAGCAGTTGAGCAGGTGAAGCCGCCCTTGTCGGGCCAGAGTGAGCCAATCACCAGGCCAGAGATAAGATCATCCGGGTGGGGCAGGTGCATCCTCCAAGTTGCCTGAGACCAACAGGGGCTGGGCACACCCTTTGCACCTAACCCCCCCCAGGAGGTTGGGAAGGGGCACCGCCTCTGACCCTCTATTTAACAAGTCTTCAGGCAACTATCTTCTTTCTTTACCCTCTAATCTAGGGACCCTGATCTGGTCCTTGCCTTTCATGAGGTCCCTGCCCACAGTTCCTGGGGCACCAAGCCCTGGCACTGAAGTGGAGTTAGAAGGGAGGATGCCATCCCCAAGAGGGGTATCTTTGAAACAAGACCACCATGATCTGGAGAGATAAGGATTGCCCAAGTCATGGCTGGACCAATCCTAAAGTCAAGAAGGTCCAGCCGCCTCCTTTTTGCATTGCCTTTACCTTAGACAGACTGGTCATTCTAAGTAGCTTTGGCTGCCAACAGCTGAGCCCAACGTCCAAAGCCCCTGATGGTCCCTGAATTTCTAAGATCTAAAAACTGTGGTTTCTTTAGCACTGAGGGACCCAGGACCAGGCAGGCACCCTATCTGTCTAACACACACACACACACACACACACACACACACACACACCCCGTTAACCACTCCTCAGCCAATCCCAGCCACTGTCAAGAGGCATCTGGTGGGGTGGAGCTCTGAGTCAGAATATAAGTTCCTGATCTTGCCACCCAGCTGGAGAGCCATCGAGATGCCACAGAGGCAGGTACCTGCCTGGGTCTCCCACTCTCTGCCAGACCCGTGCCAAGCAGAAGATGACAGGCACTTGGCCCCCTGTGCCTTAAAGGTGAGGGTGCAGTGCTGGGGGGGTGGGGCTGGAGGCTGAGGGCCAGGGAGGCATGGCCATGGAATGAGGGGCTGGGGCTGGGGGCTGAGAAGAGAAGACAGGCCCCAGGGAGGAATAGAGGCCATTATACTCTTTAGAGACCTTGACTTATAGCCTCTCTCTAGCCCCTGAGGGAAAAGGTTTGGCCCAGCTGGGCTTCTGGATGGATGGCCCAGGCAAGAGTATCCACAAGCCCTACAAGGCTATATGCAGTGGCTCGGGGCCATCCTCAGGGGCCAGGTCAGCACCAGGGTAGACAGTATTGCCAGGTAGAATCCACATTTGGCCTGTCCTGGTATCGAGTGGATATTAACCCAGTGGACATCCTAAACTTTGCAGTGTGAGTGTGTGGTGTGGTGTCATTGTGGTGAGAGTTTGTGCCATCACCAGTCTGTTGCCATCAGTCATAAAGTTGCCCGCCTGGTTTACAGTCAGGGCTTCTGAGTCCAGCCAAATCCACAGTCTCCCAGAAAGACCTCTGGGCAAATGGATCAGGTTGCTAGCACCTGAGACCAACTCTGTACTGGATTTCCTGTCTAGGCAACAAGGAGATGACTTTAGTTTCCAAGTTTACCACAGACACCACATGGGCAGGATTATTAGCTAACTCCTCAAAGCAGCAGCTTCTTCTTCACTCTCCCAAAGCCCCTTGCCCTGCCCACGCTGAATCATTGAATGATGCTCTGAAAGAGTTTTTGTTCCTTTCGAGTGGGGGATGGAGACTCTGTTCAGTCTCCAAGGAGCCCAAGGAGGGGAGCTCCATGCTGCATGGTGACTGGAGCTACTGCCCTGACCAGGATGGACATTCCCTCCAGGGGTGTGCCCAGAGTTCCCCAGAGGAGACATTTTCCCCAGAGGGGGAAAAACAGCCATCTGGCTTCTCTAGGGTGACCTCTAGTCTAAAATGTTGCTCAGACTGTCTACAATCTGTTCTGAGGTCCCAAAGGTACCCATCCTATTGGGGAGGGCCCATGTATCCTAGAAATTATCCCCAGGTTGGGCTGAGCTCTGGCCCAGTGTTACAGGGAAACAATGGCTACACCCAGCTCTCCAGGGAGGAGGAGGTGGCATCACCTGCCAAGCCTGCCCTGAGACGTCCTGGGGAGGGTAGCTGTCTTCCCTTCTCCAGGCACCCAGACCGTATAGGATGGTCTGTGAGGAGATGCCTTGCCTGATGGGCCTCACACCCACCACATCTGAAACCTGGTGGTCAGACCCTCCCTCATCCTCATCTCTACCTAGAAGACCATCTGTAACTAAATATTCTTTTGACTGATTTGTGGTAACAGCTGGACCCTTGGGTATAGAGAGAGCTCCAATTTAAGGCTGAGGTTTTATTCCAGCCTCTGCCAATCACTAGCCCAATATTTGACCTGGCACAGGTTCTTGGCCAGTGTTGCTCATGCATCGTGAGACCCAACCTCCAGGTAAATGGAAAGTGTACCAGAAAGGCAGATAGACGTGCACTTGGGTTCTGGGTCCTGGCTCTACCACCTGTAGACAGTGTGAGTCTGTGTGAGATATAATCTCTCTAACCTCAGGCTTTTCCTCCATGAAACAGGGATAATAACACCATCTTAGGAGGCTAGCTAGAGGGTTGGGCCTCCAGGGGAGGGTAATACATTTTGTTCTCCACCCCCACCAAAAGTCATATCTATAAAATTAGGGCAGGAAGGGGCCATGTTGGAATGTAATAACCAATCCTGAGATTCATCTCCTTTCTGTATGAGCTAGCAAGGTCCCCCGTCCTGACTAGGTCTCAAGGGGAAGTAGAGTCCTGGCAAGATCAATCCTAGAGGTCAAGACCAGGAAGAAGGCTGGGATTGGATGTATCTATAGTCTGGGAAGTGGGGTTCTCTCTCCCATGTGGCTTCCAGAAACTGAAGTCTGTCTTTCCTGGCACATTGTACCGTTTTGTTCAAGTGGCTGAAGACAACCTCTCTGCTGCTTGCTAAATAGTCCCTGCCTTGACCTCCAAGCCCCTGGTGTTCCCTGCTCCTCATCCCAGAGTCTTCCCCATGCCCTGTGTACTGAGGATTTTGTCCGTCTCTAACCCAAAGCTGCAACTCAGTAGCCTGGTGCCTGACCATGCTTATTATTAAAAAAGTTTTACTTTCACCTTGATACCCAATTCTCTTTCTGGGATGGACTTATCCAAATCCCTAAAGTTTTACTACACTACAAATAACTCCATAACCTCGTTTCCACTGGTTTCTGGTTTCCATCTGCATATTCATAGACACCAGGCTGTATGTTTTTGCGTCTTACTACTATAGATCAATTACCTCTGGGGCCATGAATTTTTGGTCACCTCAAACACCAATCCTGTTGAGTTGTTTCATCAGGAACAAACTATGTACATTCTTTTCATCCAAGGTCATTTTACATAGGCCCAGTTCCTGGAATTCACTTGGACCCAGACTCAAGTCCCATAGTCCTTGCATACTACCATGGTCCCTCTGCAGTGTCTCTCAAACTCTTTGTAGGCTCTATCTGTAGCTGGCGAAAAGTAAGGGCACTTTTTGGAGTATTTTGAAACTGGGTCTCTCCTGAAAATTCCTAAACTAGAAGGTGTGATCCGAGGGGCAAGGAGACCACTGAGGAGTCCTCTGTGCCTACTAAAAAATGGTAACTTCTCTAAGGACTCTGATAGTTGTGATGTGCTCTAGATGTTCACCAAAAGGGAATGTTCATGGAACACATCAATAGAAATGTTAGTTAAAACACAGCCAGTAGATGGACTTGCAAGTTTGGGGATTATTTGGGGGCTTTGGGGAGGATTCATGGTAAATAGTAGTCTGTTAGAAAAACTGGTTCTGAGAGAAGAAGACCAAGGAGAGGAGATGAACACAAGCAGCATCTGCTTTGTGATCACCAAGGACCACTTTCAGTAAAGTGAGAGTATAGCAGTGGTCCTGAACACAGCCTTGAGGGTTAGAGTTGTATTCGAAGTCGAAGTTCCTCTGATTCTAGCTCTGTGTCAAAGGACTTAGACCCAGATTCTCCATCTGTAATGAGGCTAGTCAGAACTGCTCTACAGGGTGATTGTAAGGATCAGGCAAGATTATCTATACAGAATAAGTGCACAGCATGTGGCATGTGGTAGACCCTCACCAGATGGCCACTTACATCACTATTATTGTTGCAGAGTTGGAGTAGGATGAAATGGTTGACTTCATTGGCAGATAATAGGCAAGAATGTTTCCTGGAAGGCAGGAGACTTTGGGTGAGGTCCCTAGAGAAGTGGTGGATTCTCTTTCTCCCCTAGAACAGACAAGGAGCCAGGTTGGGCCACCAGCAGCCCCTCCTGGTGGCAGGAGAAGGGCTGTGATGGTTGAAAGGACGGGGGGCCTTGTGTTCAGAGACCTGCCATGTCAAGGACTGACCCTGCTGGGGTGAGACCTTTGCAGCTTCCCACCGGGACTCCAGGTGCCCTCTGAAAAAGCAGCCGATGGGACCAGACTTGCCAGGACCACACTCCTGCTGCAAGTCAACTCCTGCCTCCTCACCAAGCCAGACCAGGACCCACTCTGCCCAGGAGGGAGTGAGAAATGAGGAGCCCACAGTACTCAGAGAGCTCGTGTGTTTCCAGAACAAGAAGAGAGGCAGTGTGAGTGAGCTTTGGCTCAAGTCAGGATGCTCATAACAGAAAGCTGATAGAGCAGGTTATTCTTCATGAATAGTCAATATTTCAGAGTTAATTCACAAGAGGAATCCTTGGACTTAAGTGTGACTGTCAATTTGACTTTTTGTTTTGAAGCAGCTGTTGGGGAGAGGTGAGGAGAGGAAGAGACCCTGAAATTACATGTCTACGTCAGGATCTAAATAACTTGGCTTTCCCAGAATCATCATTCTCTTGTTGCTGGTTAGAATTAAGCACCAGAGGGCTGGGGAGGTAGCGCAGAGCAGAGCACTTGCTTAGCATGTGTAAGGCCCTGGGTTCAATCTCCAGCACTGAAACCTAAGAATTAAGCTCCAGAAAAGTTTGGAAGGACAGACAGCAAAGTAATACTGCTGATGGAAGGACAGACAGCAAAGTAATACTGCTGATTGTCTCTGAGTGGTATGAATATAGGAACTCTGCATGTGTGCGTATCGAGGAGTACTGGGGACTGAACCATGGGCACTTTACCACTGATCTACATCCCTAGCCCCTTTTATTTTTTTATTTAAGTCAGGGTCTCAGTAATTTGCCTAGGTTGGACTTGAATTTGCAATCCTCCTGCAAGTGGCCTCCTGAGTAGCTGGGATTATAGGTGTGCACTACCATACCTGGTTGGGAACACTTGTTTTCTTCGAACTTTGTTTTTCCCACAAACCACAGTACTATTTAAGGAGAGAGAATTGCATCCTCTAAAACAGGCACAATGTGGTTCCAGCTGCACAGAAGAGTATATGCTGGGCGATAAGCCATGGGTTCTAGTACAGGGCCCTCTACAAGCAGACATTGGTAGGCTGGAAGAGTCAGGTTTCAGGGGTGTTTGCTGTGGGCTCTGAAGTGGAGAGTAGGAGACACTGGTCTTAGCCTGGATAAAACTCTAGGGAAATTCAAGTCTGAGGTTCAAGCAGGAAATGCATGAACTGCAAAGATCTGGGACCTGAGGGAACAAGCAGGAAACTTCCTTGGTATGCTGGTTCAGAGCCCGGTGAGGAAGAAAACACCTCGCCTTAGCAGCCTCAGGCCTTGGGAGACCAAAAGAGTCTTCCCAAGTCCAGAAACACGATGGACTGTGGGGAGGATTCTGGAACCAAGAAGATCACAAGCCCTGGCAGCAGGAGCCTATGGCCAGCTTGACCTGCTCAAGCACTTGCTGTCCTTGCCCTTCCCTCTCAGCCTCTCAGCCTCTAACGCAGGGCCTGACCCACAGTGGGTACTCAAAAATAATACCTGGAAGTCAAGGACTGAGAAAATGATTCGTTCTTGCAGAGAAACAATTGGAGGGGACACCCCAAGTGCAACAGAAGCCGGGAATTGTGTCAGTGAGAGCATGTGGCCCTGAGCTCTGGAAGCTCCCCACTACAGAAGCTTAATAAACACGGCCTTGAAACCTGGGGCAGGGAGTCACAGGCAGAGGAGGACTGAAGGGAGAGGACAACTGTGGTTTTGTAGGCAGAAAAAATTATTCAAGGACACTTTGCAGTTACAGGATAAAGAGAAACTAGTGAAGCTGGCAGAGGTGGTTTCAGGGCATCTAAGAAGCAGAAAGTAACAGAGCCTGAGGACAAAAGTGGACCAGAGGCTGTTGTGTCATTCCCAGAGGGCAAAGACAGCTGGGGATGGAGGTGGGCAGGACTAGGGAGCCTCACCCTTTGCCACCATTACTGGCTTATGGCTTGAGATGATGGCAGAACTCCCTGAAAATGATCAGGAAAAGAGGAGTGAAATAGGAGACACATCAACTCCAAATGAGCAGGGCTCAGGGTGTGTCTACACCCCCATCATTGGTCTGAAGCAGGCCCCTGGGGTTAGTGATACCTACAGAGGCATCTGGCAGACATCTGTCATCAAATCAAGGATTACTTGAACTTTTGCCACATCCAAGACAGTTTTGCCATAACAAAACACAAGTGTTAATGGTAAGACACGGCAAAGAAGAAAGAGACAGTTATTTACTGGGAGGAAGAGATACAATGACCAGAAAGATTTGTGGGAAGATGCTCTGAGTGGTGGTGGGGGGCTGAGGGGAAAGGGAGATGCAAATACTCTGGACTAGAGCGAAGCATCAGGATGGTGGTGGGCACCTAGCCTGGGGATTCCCAGGAGGTGTCTGGAATTGTCAGTCTATCATCCCTCCCAGTTACACCGTGCATCCTCCTAAGTTTTGTCCTAAGCAAGGGAAATTTTTCTCTGTGTGGGGTGGGAATAAGAAGTTATTCAATGAAGGAGCATGGAAACACATCAGGACTTCCTTGCTATACTGCTCCTTGTGTGTTTGGGGCCAGAATATTTGTTTATTCATTCACCCATCTAACAAACATTTATTGAGCACCTTCTATATATCAACATATTGCAAGTGCTAGAGCCACAAAGATGAAAACCCAGACAGGGTTCTAGGATCTAGGAGCTTTCAGAACCTGAGAAAAGACAGATACTAATTAAACAACGACAAAACAGCATGGAGGCTATTGTAATGCAAGTGGGCTGGGGGACAGGAAGGCATGGTGGGGGAAGTCACCCAGGGGCACTGGACATGGGGTGATGCTTGAATAATGAGGCCACTGTCCTCTCAATCTGTAGGATGGGCTGTCTCCATGCCACCTGTTGACAGTGAGGGTCATCCGGATGAAAAATGTCCGGCGGGCTGATTTGGGTGAGTATCCTTCTCTCCCCCACTACTTCTCTGCTTGTGGGACTGTTCTGGATATGATCTAACTTACCAGGGATGGTAGTGTTTCCTGGCATCCTGGTTCTTACTGCATCCCAGGCCATGAGCTCCCAGGGAGTCCTCTGTCTCAGGAAGATACAAAGGCATCTGAGGGGGCAGGATACTTCCTGCACCCATTTTTTTGGGGGGCTTTCCAGGAGACCAGCCCCTTCCCATGTTGCTCTCACCTTGTCTCATCCAGAGAGGAAGCTTGCCCCGCCCACCCTAGGAGAGAAAGCTCTGAGAACTGGAAGCGTCATGAAAGGGCCCAGATGTAAGCATCCAGAGATGTAGGAGCCTGGCAGGTGGAGAGGCTGCCCTGAGGGAGGGTCCTGTTTCCTGAGCATCTGCCAGGATGCCCATACACCATTTGATCCTCCCAACAACCTGAGTAGTAGTCCTGGGACGCCATTTTGCCAGTGAGAATTAATGATAGCTTAAGATAGAAATGGCATTTGATCCTAGGACTGGAGAGCTGGGGAAGAAACGAGAGGGAGGCTGGAGGCCCAGAAGCCAGGCAGAAGAAGTGATGAGGTGCCTGAGTTTTGCAGAAGAGATTGCATGACTCCCTGAGAGATCATATGCAGATGATGCTGGAGTACAGGTGGGAGAGGTTGAGAACCTGAAATGCAGGGATGTGGGTGGAGGAGGGAGGAGGGAGACAGCTGCAGCCCCAGAGATAGCAAAGAGGATTCAGACTAAGCCTCTGGAGGGTGCAGTGTCAGCAGGAGCAGTTCCAGCTAGGCTCAAGTGTAGGCCTGAGTCTGCCAAGTGGCCTGCCAGAAGGCCAGGGACCTCTCCTAGGGCTTCTTGGGGCTTTCCCAGCCCAGCAGTGGGTAATCTGAGGAGTCAGAAAGTGTCCCCTGGCCCAGGCAATGGTCACGTCTTTTCCTTTCTTGCCCATGCCATGAAAATGGATCGTTCACTTACTTTACTCCTTCTTGGGCAGAGGTCACCCTCCCTCAGGGATAGCCCCATTTCCCACATACCCACAGCAGTGACTTGCCTTCCTGTGGCTTCTCCTGAGGTGAGTCTGTCCCAGCCCCTCCAGTCACCCTGGCTGCACAGTCTCATTCTGCATGCCTGCACCTGTGTGCTAGACCTTCCCATTCCCAGGGCCCTATTTTCTGTCTTATCCCAGTGGGGCAGGCTGTGATTTGGCTCTGCCAGCCTCCCCTTCCCCTTTTTCACACACTCCTCTGGCACACAGGCTTCCTTTGGGGGTCTTCTTTGGGATCCCCTTTGTTGTTTATATTATCCTAAGGAACTGGAGGGCATATGTGGCATCTGAGAACCCAGCCTAGGCCTGTCAGGTCTGTATTCTATGGTTGTTATGACTGAACCATGTCACTACTTTGCTCTGGTTAGGTTGGAGACTATCCCAGTGACTTTCAAGTCCTAAGTCACTCTTGCTTGAAATTGTTCCCTTCTCGCTTTCATCGAAAATGAACAGCTCTCTGATCTAGGCCTCTAACCATGTTTGCCATGTTTCCCAAGATTCCAGAAAGGGTAATGGCTGGGAATACACACAGCTTCAGAGATGACCCTCTCACCAAGAACTGGGACTGGGAGACAGCCAGGCCTAGAAACTTCCCCGCCATCGGGAGTTTTTATTCCTCTTGGGAAAGCAAATTAAAACCCAAATCAGCACTCCAAGGGCCATTGGGTAGATGTCTCCAAAGGTCCTGGGAAGACAATATTCTGAACGTCTGTGAAGATAACTGAGTCATCTCTGCCACCCAAAAGCCAGGAAAGGAATCAAGTCATTCATATGACCAAGCCCTCTATCACCCCACCTGAAGCAAGAATTGGAATCTGCCTTTGCCTGGGAAGTCCCCTGAAGTCCCTGAAATTCTCAGATTGCATCACCACTGCTTTACCATTCCTCTTGGCCAACACAATTGCCACTGTCCTTAGAGTCAGCTAATGATGCCTGCCCAATTGTCACCCACGCCCAGCTGATCTTCCCCTCTATCACCTCTCTCCAGGATTACTTTATCCTCACACTGTACTCTCTTTATTTTTAACCATTGGTATATTTGACAGGAGAAAAAACTTTCTGCAAAAGAACCAAAAAACAAATTAATGTTTAAAGGGTGGGTATCTGATCAATCTATTCTCTTCAAGGAATATTTTTGTCTTAACTAGAGATTTAAGCCTTAGGCCAAAATACTGAGGTTTTATTTAATGGATTTAAGGGGATAATTTTAGGCATGGACTCAACTGTAGGCATAAGAAGGAAGCAACTGTAGAGGGAGGAAGGCCCTCAAGTCATGAATGCTCAGCAGACCTTTGTAGGTACAGCACTGATCAGTCACTGCCTGCTGGCTCCCACCATACAGGAAGCAGACCTGAAGAGAATTTCCAGGCCCAAGAGGAAGGGCCAATGTCTAGGAAAAGCCAGAGGGGCCCTGGTGAGTCTCCCTATGGGCAGAGCAATTAGACATGCTAATCTGCTTACCTGGATCTGCAGTGACTCAGCACAGAATTTCTCGGATACTGATACAACAGGAAGTTGAGCTGTTTCATTCATTCATTTATTCTAGCCTTATTCCAAAGGGTGGAGACACACAACCTCCCAGCCCTCATGGTACTCACAATGCGATGGAGACAAATGCGTGGATCTGCTGTCACAGCACCATGTCGCGATGCTCTGCCAAGAGAGGAACAGACTTGGGTGCTCAGGGAAGGTTTCCAGAGGAGGTTCCTTCTGAAACCTGAAGCAGCTAGCAAGGAGAAGGCTGGGTGAAAGTAGAAGAGAAGGGTGTTCCAGGAAGAAGCAAAGTCATTTGCAAAGGCTGGAGGATGAGACAGAACCATACATTTAGATACTTAAAAGTGATTGAGTTTGGCTGAAGCCTAGAGTATGAAAGTGCGTGTGTGCACAGACAGGTCTGGGGTGTTAGGGTGGAAACATGAGGCTGAGGCTGGGGAAATGAACAAGGAAGTGGAGCTTCTTCCTGAGGACAAATAGGAGCCATTAAAAAAACTTAACTGGGGAGTGGCTTGGTCATATTTAAAAAGCTTCTTCTGACTTCTCTTGGAAGAAAATATTAGCATAGGATATGTCTGGAAATAGGGAGCCCAGTTGGAAAGTGGCCCCAGAAACAATGGTGGCCTGCACCAAGACAGTGGCAGTGCAGATGAGGGGAAGAGTTAAATGGATTAGCATGAGAGTTGAGGAGCACACTTGGTTTCTGGCTGGGATACCTGAGTTGATGATGAGAGGAGCAGTTGGCCATGGGGTGGCTGAAATGATGAGGTCACCATTTTCTTCTGATTCTGTTGGGGTTTTGGTCATTCTTTCTGCCTGAATTAAATGATTATGATGACATCTAGAGGAGAGTGTCATCTCGCCTTTATTCAATTGAAGGACGGCTGTGAATTCCTATTCACTGACCAGTGAGCTCTCAAGATGAACCAGATATCAGGAGTAAATCAGAAGCCAGGAATGCTTGTGATACAAAATGTGGCTACTGACACTGATAAAGCTTTCAAATATAGTGATAATGTGGGACCAAATCAGCCCCGAGAGACAGCACCGATCCTGCTCTCATTAGCAATTAATAACAATATCATGAACTAGTTTGGATTAGTTCTACCACATAGGACTCCCATATTAACCAACTTTACCATCCAGAGGCTCCTGACACTGGAAACTGATTGGCTTTCACCATTTTCTATGTATCTGGTGTGTTCGCTGAGACTTACTTGTCAGATGAATGATAAAAGCAATCACAACACTCTTCCTGCCTTCTCCCAGACAAAATGGAGCATGGGAAGCAGGCTGGGCTGCTATTCTTTTTTCTTTTTTTTTTTTAAAGAGAGAGTGAGAGAGGGGAGAGAGAGAGAGAGAGAGAGAGAGAATTTTTAATATTTAGTTTTTAGTTCTCGGCAGACACAACATCTTTGTTGGTATGTGGTGCTGAGGATCGAACCTGGGCCGCACGCATGCCAGGCCAGCGCTCTGCCGCTTGAGCCACATCCCCAGCCCTGGGCTGCTATTCTTTGATCTATCCCTTCTACTACTCCAACCAGAAGATATAGAAGGCCTTCTTCCATTTTGAAGGCCTATTGGAGCAAGTCAAAGCCTTTTTCTCTTCTCCAGGGCTATCTAGAGAATTTTTAAAAAAATAGAGACTGAGAAGAAAAAAAAATTACTTGTCCACAAATAAGAAGGCTTCTTGGGTCATAAACCTTATGGTGGGAGACTAGGTTAAGTATGAAGAGCCTGACTAGGTGCAGTTGAGGTATTAAGCCATATGGTGATGGTGGTCCTGGCTCCAAAATCCTGCCGAATAGCTCATTCTGACCAAGCCCACCAGGGCCCCTATTGGCCAACTTCTCATCCTACTTTTTCTCCCCAGGTCAGAGAAAAGCTCAACTCTACTTTGGTTTTCCTTGTGCTAAGGCAAAAAGGAAACCAGACTTTGAGGGATTGATCTTCCAGATCTTTCCCTGACAGAGAGAAAATTGTGCAGCCATAACTTGTCTCAAACCAACAAACATTTGCTCAGAGACTAGGTGCTTCTGCCTCAGACCATCTGTGTCCATGTGAATGGTCAATGGGACCTGGCCTCCTCTGTAAGACCTATATCCTGCAGTCTATGACCTTCTTTGGGTTCTAGGACAACTATCTCTAGAGAGTTAGACCCTGAGTCAGGAGAGAACCTGAAGCTGAGAGGAGACCTTGCTCCAAAAGAGACTCGACTCCACACTCTCACCTCTCTGAACTGGGGTTGGTTTCTCTCCCTTCTCTCCTACCCTTGTTTTTGTTGGACAGTGAGCCAGACAGACTGCTTTGTAAGCCTCTGGCTGCCTACCGCCTCTCAGGAAAAGCTGAGGACGAGGACCATATCCAACTGCCCAAACCCAGAGTGGAATGAAACCTTCAACTTCCAGATCCAGACCCAAGTGAAGGTGAGATATGGAGGACTAACTGTACCTTCTGCCCTGCCTGCATTTTTGTCCTGTCTGTCCTCCTCTTTTCTTACATGTCCTTCTTAAGCATTTTTATTTCTACCTATTCTTGTCCTTCTCTATTCACCCACTAACTACTTCCTTCTGCCTACCTCACATTTCCCTCTCTCTTAGATATTTATCCTTCTACCTTTTTCTGGTCTCTCTTGTCCTTCTATCTAAATATTGCTGATGCTAAGTGTCTGTCGATCCAAAACAGATTGCCTTTCCAGGACCTTCCAGAATGTGCTTGAAGCAGGAGAATTCACAGAAGGAAAGAGCCGTTCTATTAAATAGGTCAAGGTTAATCCAGTCAAAGCATTTTTCTCTCTCTTAAATCCTTTTCTGATTGCTTTACTATTTCTATTTCCTTTGGTAGGTATTCCTTTATTTGTTGAGTTTTTGTTTCATAGTGGTGGTCTTCAGATATGTGGTAACTATAAGTCAAGATCACATCTCCTGTAGAATCCTCCCTTGAGCTCTCCAAGTTGTGACAGCCCTAACAGAGAGTTCTAAAGACAAATTTGACCTCATCATAGAGGCATCAGCCCCAGACTTGAGGTAGCTCCAGATTATTACTTGCATTTTTCAAAGATGCTTCTCCATTTCTAGTTCACAAGGAGTTCTTTTGGTTTTCAGGAAGATCTTTTTTTTAATTTTTTTTTTTTAGTTGTAGGTGGACACAATATCTTTATTTATTTCTATGTGGTGCTGAGGATCAAACTCAGTGCCTCACACGTGCGAGGCAAGTACTCTATCACTGAGCTACAACCCCAGCCCTTCAGGAAGTTCTTTATAGTTAAATATTTTTCTATCATATATATTATTATGGTGAGGGAAGAGGATTTCCACATGGGATTAGTTTGCATCTTAAAATCAGAAGTTGGGCTTCCTTTGATTTAAGGAGTATGGGGCTGAGGTTGGTTCTGAACATGCTTATTTTTCTAATAATTGCAAGGTCAGCATATCTCATCTAGTTGAGAATCCCCAGAATCAACTTATGTCTACCAGATAGGAACATAACCTCAGTCCATATCTCACAGGATGCTTGGAACAAGGTCCTAGTCACTCAGAGACTAGTTAGGTCATTCTGAGACCATTAAGTTCAATTGCTTGACAGGGTAGCTGCTTGACTCTTAACCTGCTGCTTTGGGACCATCCATGGGCTGATGTGCCAAAGAATGGAGTTCATGAACCTCATTCCAACTCTGCCAATCATCAGAACCCCTATAATCCTTGTTCCGCCACTCCCCTAAGTGTTAAAATGTTACTTCCCTAGTATGACTTTTCTAGCACAGAAGGGGCTATCTTTGCTCCCAGGGCTCAATGCTTGGGAGCATTCTCTATCTTGGCAGAGATCTTGCTTGCTCTGTTCCTTCCATCTTCCCCAAGAGAGCTGAAAGCCCTCCACCCTTCCCAGCTTTCTGCTAAGCTTGTACAAGGGCAAAATTATCAAGGAGTCAGAGCAGAAAAGTAGCAAGGCTTCAGAGTTGGAAAGCAGTTAATAGATATTTTCCTTCCTTAATTCATTTTCTTCCAATGTCTCTCACACCTGAAAAGGGACCTGTGTGTGTCCTCCTTCCCTCAGACCTACTTCCATGCTAGGAATGAGGTCAGGCTTCTTGTCCTGGGAGTGAGTCAATGCAACCAGGGTGACCAGACTTGCACCCTCTCTTTTCTAGAATGTGCTAGAGCTGAGCGTCTGTGATGAAGATACAGTGACACCAGATGATCATCTCTTGACAGTTCTCTATGACCTTGCCAAGCTCTGCTTCCGCAAGAAAACCCATGTGAAGTTCCCACTCAACCCGGAGGTGGGTACATGGGCCCAGGCCCTCAGCTCCTGCCTGGGGAAGCCATTTATTCCCATGATGCCATTGCATTGGCTCCACAGCCAAGTCAGGAGAAGAGGGCACTTTGGTTCAAATCTCAGCACTATCACTTACTAGTCATGGGGTTGTGTGAAAATCAGTTAACTCCTCTGTGTTTCTATTTCTTCATGTATAAAATTATTGTGCAGGGTTGTTGTAAGACTTCAACAAAAAAACATAATCAAGTCATCCAGCAGTCAGTGTTTATGTTACAAAATGAAGATATAAGTGTTTGTGTCCCTCTACCTTTTTCTTGCATTAGAAACCTCTTTCTGGGATGCCAAAGGGAAAAGAGTACAGGTGAGGGAGAGTAAAGGAGGACAAATCTGCAAATCAGAGGAGGTCAGAGCTGGAGAGGACCAGGTTGTTCTAGATTCAGTTACTCAGCAAATGCCTCAGTGCCTACTGAGGGCCAAGCTCTGTGCCAGTCCCTGGGTACGCATCAGGGAGCATGCATCCATGTCCTCAGCCTGTGTGCATTCCAGTGGGGGAAACTGAGGTCCAATGAGGTCATGGCTTGCCTCAGGTTACACAAGAAGCATGAAGGAATAGGTGAGGGAAGGGCCTCCCTGTCAGAGTTGGGCTTTCCAGAGGTGCTATTTCAGGGTTCCCTCACCCCAGCCCCAAGCCTCCCTGTGAAGGCTGGAGAGCAGTGGGAGCTGGGGGTAGAGATGAAAAGGAGATGTTCTGGGGCATGGGTGTCCACTCCATACCCTGAGCCTCTCATGGGTTGTCATTCAAAGACTTGGTATCAGAGAAAGTTAGAAGGGTTAACAAGAGCTAGGAACAGCTGCCCTCCCTCCATGGTGGCAGGGCAGTGTGTGGGGAGAACAGAGCAGGTCTGCAGGGGCCAGCAGAGGGTCCTGGCCAGCAGAGATGTGCAGACACAGTTCACAGCTGCCTTCCTCCCTCCCCCACCAGGGCATGGAAGAGCTGGAGGTGGAGTTCCTGTTGGCAGAGAGGTGAGTAGGCCCCTGTCCCCCATCCCAACCCACAGAATCAACCAAGGTCCTGACCTTCAAGTGTTTTTCAGAGCTGGATCTGCCTTTTTGCCTCCTTCCCCCTTCCAATCTCACTCCTGGCCCTCACCTGGGACTCCTCGGTGAGCTTCAGGTCCCTTGGTGCAGGTGCCTGGGCCCCACCCCTTCTCCAGTGTCACTGATGTCCTCATTGCTTGAAAGAGTCTCTGCCTCAATCCCCCACATTCCTGAGGGTGGCTTCTAGGAAGAATTTCTGGATTCTTCCAGGACTTCAGGGACCATATACGAGATCCTGAGAAAGGGGTCAGGACCAAGGGGTCTCCTCCTTGACCCAGACTATTAGAACAAACACCCCCAAACCCTGGCCTAAAGTTAAGGCTGTCCCCCTCGGAGCCAACCTTGGAACCAAGTCAGGCATGAGGCTCAGGTCTGACATGTAGGATTGTGTCTAGTCATTTTCAATTAGGGAAATGACCCAGGACCCTGGAGGTATGTCCATGCTGAGGACATACAGGGCTGGAGTTTAGGAAGGAGAAGAGGACAAAGGAAAAGAGGAAGGTAGAGAGCAGGGGCCATAGTCCAGAGAGGACAAAGCCCCAACCCAGGAGAACAGTGTTCCTTGTGATGGTATACTCCTGCCCTCTCCTGACCCTGGATGCCCCGATGCTTTATTCTTGTGATCAGCCTGAGGACAAAAAGAGGATGAGAGAGATGAGATGGGACAAGAGGGCTTGTCAAGTCCCCCTCTCAAAGAATCCTCTGCCTAGGGGACCTTGGAACTGAGGGACTGTATTTCCCATCGACAGATGACTGCCAAATTAAAATTAGCTTTATTTCACACTGAAGAAAATCTAATCTTTCTCCTCCAGTTCTTGATGTGACAGGACTTTTTGGGGTAGGAATCTTTGGCTGAACTGAAAGGTGACTTTCAAAATGAAATATGTCATGACTGGTGATATGAGTTGGTCCGATGACACAGTCATCTGGTTCTGCCCACATCTTGCTTGGAGAGTGAGTGGGTAACTGTTGGAAGTGTGGGCTGGCTGCAAAATAAAAGCTAGAAAACTAATATATTAAAAAATAAAGACAGGGGCTGGGGTTGTGGCTCAGCGGTAGAGTGCTTGCCCAGCATGGGTGAGGCACTAGGTTCAGTCCCCAGCACCATATAAACAAATTAGCAAAATAAAGATATTGTGTCCAACTACAACTAAAAAATTTTTTAAAAAAAATAAAGACAAAAGGCAAGAATATATATATATATATTTCCCCCGCCCCAAAGCAGAGGTGTAATGGATTGAGCAGACTAGATAAGTCTGACTCTAACAAAGAAAAAAATCATGCTTGCTTTATTTATAGTGGTACAGACCAAAAGGGATGAAGAGAGAGTTCCTTCATGGGTGACAGGATAAGAGTGGGGATAAACAGGTTGTTTGTGCTTGGCAGGTTACACCCTCTGGACAGCATGCATGATCTGGGCTTTCTCAAACCAGGGATTTCACCCAGGAGTTCCCAGAAAAGCAGCTTCTCTGCCTTAATGGCTCAAACAATTTGTTGGCTTCATTTATATGGCTTCCAAAAATTTGGGGCTTAGTTTTGCCAAGGAAGGTTGTGGACTCCAATAGGCTAATTGCAGCCTTGGAGGCTTATATTATCAATTTCATAAAACAAGGACATTTTATATTCACTAAGCTTCTGGCTGGCTGGGTCATCCCCTGTCTGTTAAATGCCTACATTAAAGCACAAAATGGAGAATAATTTTTCGTTTTTCGTGAAAAATTGTTTCCATCTGCTCTAGTTGGTAGCTGCAACCATATCTTGCAAACTATAAATCCTATAGCTCCACGCAGTCACATCTGGTTAGACATAAAGAACAGTTCTTTCTAACCTATAAATCTGTTATTTTTTCCTGGACAGTCTATGTAAAATATCTGCCAGTTTCCTCCCTGACATCCCATAGATCTAAGGTTTCTTAAATCAATATTTTGAATGAGAACAAGGAGGCTCTGCTATTGATCCTACTTATATTCTTGTCAGCTTCATGAGAAATCAGTCAGTCAGGAAGGAAATGACCAGGTGTTCTCATTTTGTTTTTCAGCCTTTCTCCACCTGAGACCCTCATCACCAATGGCGTGCTGGTGGTAATTGTCCTTCAGAGTTCCTATAGCTCTAGAGGTCATATCTGACTCCTGCTCTTGGGATAGAGGACTGAGGCCAGCTTTGGTTTTTGTCCCATCCTGAGCCCTGGAGGAGTCAGACTAAATGAGCCAGCCAAATGGGGTACAGGGAGGAGTGAGATTTGTTTGGGCTCTTGCATACAGAGAGGAGTAACTAGGGTACTGACCCTTCATCTTACATCACAAAGAGATAACCCTAATTGGGATCTCCCCCAAAAAGAGCCCAGTAAAGGCAGCCTCCTCCCAGATTCATTCCTGTCCTTTCCCCCACCATCCCCAAACCTCTGCAAGTATATTCTCAATATCAATTTTTTTTCATAATTTGGCTGCTTGTACAAATATTTTAATTAAATATATCCAATACCCCCAGGGTTCAAGGAGACTTTTCCCTCAAAAAGGAGAGTCTTTGGGAATTTTTGATAAAAAGAACTCAACCTGTCTCTACCTCTTATAAAAGCTGATTCATTTGAAGTTCTCACTTTCAAAGCCCAGAGCTAAACGTTGCCTCCGATGAGACACTGACCTGCCCCTCAGAACATGGCCCTAGTAAACTGTGACCAAGCATCCTTGAGTTTATAGGACAACTTCATTTCAAATATCCTCAGTGAGAAGGCTGGACTTGACTGGGTTCAAAAATGTGGGTAGCCATCTAGTTGCAGTGGCACATGCCTGTGATTGTAGCAACTCAGGAGTCTGAGACAGGAGGATGGCAAGTTCCAGGCCAGCCTCAGCAACTAAGCAAGATTCTATTTCAAAATAAAAAATGAAAATTGATGGGGATATGGCTCAGGACTTCCAAAAAAAAAATGTGGTCAGTACACCCAGCATTCCCAGTGTCAGCCTGAGGTCAACCAATACAACTTTTATCCTCTTGGTCTTTATCTCCTTCTTTCTACCTGAGAGAGCCAGGAGGTGGCTTATTCTCAGAGTCCCAGTGACTTTCTTTGCTTTGTTTCAGTCTCGACAAGTCTCCTGCCTGGAGGTTCATGCAGAATCTAGGAGGAGGAGGAAGAGTAAGAAAAGTGAGTGCTTCAGTGCCCTTTGTGCTGGGGGGAGGAGAAGGGCAGCTTTTAAGCCTGGTCAACGACAACTGGCCTGGTCTAGGGTTCTCCTGAGTTTGAGCCAGTTTGGCCAACACTCCTCGAAATCATTGCAACCTCACCCTCAAAGCCATGAACCTCTACCTTCCGCTGCCTGCTTTTAAAGGGTACCCCCATCATCCTGGGAGTCCCAGACCTGCCAAATATCCTGGGCCTGAGTCACAGCGCTGCCCTCTGTGTCTAGGTCTGGCACAGTGACCAGCCATTGACAACTCTCAGGACTCTTCTAGCTGTACCGCCTCCTTTAGCCAATTCACAGTTCACAGCATCTTATAGCTGCAAGGGATCTGAGGGATCCATCAGTATAGTTCTCCATCCCACCCCCAACCTGCCCTTGCAAGTCTTCCATCCTGCCTCAGAAGGCAGCAGCCCACAGATGGAGAGAGAGAGAGAGAGAGAGAGAGAGAGAGAGAGAGAGAGAGAGAGAGAGAGAGAGATGCATGGGGTGAGTAGTGGTAGTGAGCCTCCACACCCAAACTGACAGTGTGGTAAGGGCCTGCATTCTCAGCAGTGGGCCGGTAACACTAGGAGATCTTCTGGCAAAGCAGAAACAAAGTGAACTAGTCCTGAGGATTCTCTCCGCACTTCGAAGGGTTTTCTGGAGGCCACATTAGACATCATCACTCGTGAGCCTTGTTAAAATGCAATTCCAGCTCCTGCCCCACCAATAGAATGGAGCATTCCAGATAATGCCCCACAGGCATTATAACCAGTTTCCTGGGCATCTCTATAGGCTTTTGGATGGGTCAAGAGGAGGGTGATAGGAAGCTTCCCACATAAGGGTCTCACCTCTGTCCTCTCTCCTGGTGAAAGGCCTCCTGGTGAAGGTGACGGAATCCTTCGAGAACACCCAGCGCATTTCGTCCTGCCAGGAGCCCACCTGCCCAAACTCTGCCTGCTTTCACTACCCCAAGTATTTCCAGCCCCAGCTGCACGTGGAGGTGCCCAAGAGTCACTGGAATTGTGGGGTATAAGGCAGCCCCAATGGGGGTGAGGGAGGAGCCTGGGGCAGGTGGGGGCTGATAGAGGAGCCCCTGCCCGCCTCACAGAGCCTGTCCATGCTTCCAGCTTTGCTGCTGCTGCACACACAAGAATGGTCCTGTCTGCCAGCCCCTTGATTGCTTTTCTGACGGCCAGGCGGTGACCCTGCCTTTGGTGAGGGCTTAGGTCTGGGAAGGAGCCCCTGGATGGCTCAGCCTGGAGCTCCTGGGGCAGGGAAATGGAGAGAACCTAGGGCACAGTGAGGGAAGGTGGCGTGTGGGGTCTCAGGCAGGACAGAGGGGTCTTATGGAGTGTTGATAAGCTACAGTGGGAGCCAGAGAACGTGTGAAGTTGGTGGGGAGGATCATGTCCAAAAGAGGGGAGTGGGGACAGAGCATGCACCTGTGTGTACCTGTGTGTATGTGCATTCATGTCACATGCATGAGGGCTGAGTCAAATCAAGGGATGGGCAATGTGAGGCTCCACCTCTTTGGCTGGGATCACTGGGCTCTGCATCATCATCCCTGACAAGCTTTTCATCTTTTGCTCCTCAGGGCGAGAACTGTGAATTACACATGAAGTCCACACCTTGGTAGAGTACCCTCTTTCTGTTCTTCCCTCTAACTTATTCACAATAGTAGGTATAGGATGCTATTTCATTTGCATTTCCCTGAAAGCTAATGATATTGAACATCTTTTATGGGTTTATTGTCTCTTCTTTGGAGACCCATCTATTCTAACCTTTTATCTACTTTTTAGGGGGACTATTTGTCTTGTTATTGTTAAGTTATGAAAGTTCTTTGTATATTCTGTGAGTTATCTTTTCATATTCTTTTTTCTTTTGTGGTAATGAAGATTGAACCCAGGGCTTTGTATATGTTAGGTAAGCACTCTACTACTATATCCCTATATAGTATATGAGCTACATCCCTAGCCACCACCCACCCCCGATACCTTTTAATTTTTATTTTGAGAAAGAGTCTCACTGAGTTGCCAAGGATAACCTTGAACTTGTAATCCTCCTGTCTCAGCCTCCTGAGTAGCTGGGATTACAGGCATACACCATCATGCATAACTCTTTTCACAATCTTGATGATGTCTTTGAAAAACAATGTTGTTAATTTTTTTAAGCATAGATTTTTTAAAAACCTTTATTTTATTTATTATTTTTTATGTGGTACTGAGGATCGAACCCAGTGCCTCATGCATGCTAAGCAAGCACCTCTGAGCCACAACCCCAGCCCAATGTTGTGAATTTTGATGAAGTCATTTATTTTCTCTTTTGTTTCTTGTGTCTTTGATGTCATATATAAGAATTGTTACCTAATCAAGGTCACAAGGATTTACTTCTGTTTTCTTTTAAGAATTTTAAGACTTTCATAGTTTTAGTTCTCATATCTAGGTCTATGCTCTATTTTTAGTTAATTTTTGAATATAGAGTGAGGGAATCCAATTCCATTCTTTTGTATGCAAGTATCCAGTTGTCCCAGAACCATTTGTTGAAAATATTATGTTTCCCCCACTGAATTGCCTTGTCAACCTTGTTGAAAATCAAGTGGCCAGCTGGTCACAGTAGTACATGCCTATAATCCCAGCTACTCAGGAGGCTGAAACAAAAGCGTCACAAATTCAAGGCCAGGCTAGGCAACTTAGCAAAATAAAAATAAAAGGGGGCTAGGGGTATAGCTCAGCAGTAGAGCACTTACCTAGTGTATGCAAAGCCCTGATTTTAAACCCTAGCACTGCAAGAAATAAAAATTTAAAAAGCAACTGACCGTAATTTTTATCTATAGTTTGATTAGCTATTTGTTCTTGCACAAGTTATTTGACCTCCCTAAGTTTTCTTCACCTGTAAATCTGATCACATGTGAAGTATTCTGTAATCTATCTGCTGAGTGGGATGCTAGAAAATATCAACCAATGTTATTGTTGCTATTATCATCATTAGATTATCAGTATTCCTTGTGAGCCCAGTGAAAGAGTTATTTTCTTGAAGCTGTGTCTGCAGGCTATGCTAGGAGATGTGATCAGAGAGGTCTCAAGCCCTGGCTTCAAGGAAATGTGGCTTTGTTAGAGAAAGAACTTTATTTGTTTTGGATTGTAAACTGCCAAAGTCCATTCACCTTGAGTCCCTGGGACATTAGTCCTCAGGGTGTGGAGGTGGGCAAAGGGAGGATGCTTCTGGTGAGGGTGAAGGCCTAGAAGTTAGACTGTTTGAGCCTCTGAGAGCCTGATGGGCCCTTTCCAGCAGGTAGCTTAAGTTGAGCTTGGACAGGTCAGGTTGGGTCTTGGATGCCAGAACAAGGGCCTGGACTTGTTCTGGGCAGGGATGTCACTGACACAGAGGGCAAGCGTTGAGCATGTCATGGCAGCTCCTGCCCCACCTTCCTGGGGGACCTGCAGGAAAGACCTGCTGAGGTCAGGGATGTGAAGAGTTTTTGTCAGCTACACAAAGGCACAGGAAAATTACACGTCAGTGAGCAGGAAAGGCTTAGTGAAGAATGTGAGCTCTGTAGGAAGAGGGAGCTTGTTTATGGAGCTCAGACTCCACACTAGAGAGCCTTGTCCAGGGGTATTTGCCAAAAGGATCTCAGGGCCCCCAGTCACCCATGTATGCTCTTAGACTGTAGAAGGCACCTGAAAGAAGCCTTTCTGAACTTTCCAGACCTTGCTGATGAGGCAGAGCGTTCAGAGTTCCTAATACAAGTACCAACATTTATCTTTTGCCAAGTATCAGCTCAAAGCATGCCAGCTAAGGCGTTACATTTGTTAGCTCATTAAATGCTAAAGGCAGTGCTGGGAGTTAAGCCCCCATATAGGTTGTGGGGGCAAGCACAAAGTGGTAGATGACAGGCTGGGCTTCTTCAAGCCTGTGTCCACTGACCCTAAAGTCCCTTGAAGATAAGACTACAGGCCCACTCAGCCAGGATCCTTTCTCCCTCAGCCCTGACACACTGGATGTGCGGCTGGGCTTCAGCCTGTGCCAGGAAGAGTTGGAGTTTCTGCAAAAGCGGAAGGTGGTTGTGGCCGAGGCACTGAAGCAGGTGCTGCAGCTAGAGGAGGACCTGCTGGAGGACGAGGTGGGTAAGCAGAGGCTGCTGGCCTGGGCTCAGGGCCACTCCAGGCTAAGCCGGTCCTTCCAGCCTCATATCCCACCAGCCATCCCAGCTCTTCCCTGTTCCAGGATGGCTAAGACACTGCTTTCCCTTCACCATTGTCCTCATGGCTGAGGTCTGGTGCCCAGAGAGTGCATGCTGGATGTATGTTCACTTGGGGAGGGGAGGGCAGACTAGAGAGAGAAGGAAGGGGCTCCAGTGGCTCTGCTCCTCCCACGCACTGGATCCTGAAGTGGCAGAACTAACTCAACCACAAAATGACTTCCTTGCCCCAGCCAGGAAACATTTAAAGCTCCACCACCTTATGTATGCCATATCCCCCACCCAAAAGGCCGTGGGTGCTTGTCCTTCAGTTCTCTCTCCTCTCAAATGTGCACATGTAAACACCTCCCAGAAATAATAGCTGTAGCAAGCTGGAAACAAGCAACGTTACTCCCAGGCCAGTCGCTTCCTTCCATGGAGGCGGACAGTAGTGCCTTTTTGTCAGAGTCCTCTGTCACCTCCCCTGTGTGGACTGGGGCTCACACTGTCCTGGGCAGCTGGTTAGTACTCCAAAATGCCTGACTTCTGAGTCTGACCATGATGTACATGGAGACCACATGGGGCCCAGGGAGGGCTTGTGATTGGGCTTCAGGTGACTGAAGGGTTTTTTAGTCCCCACCCAAATGAAAACAGAGATTGGGTTCAGAGCCCCTTCTTCATCCCACCCTTAGGGAAAACACACCAAAGGCATCTCAAAGCCAGGTCAAACCACAAGTGGCCACCCTGCTGTTTCTGACATTAGAAATGTATTCCTCTTGCTCTTATAAACCATGTATAGACTGAACATGTGCCATGTACCAAGCCAGGGCCTGCTGCCCTAAGGTCATATCCAAAAGATCTCAATTTGTCACCATTAAGGAATCATACTCACTACCCTTGACCCCAGTTTTATCATCTGTTAACTGAAGGCTGGATTAAGAGTGCTAAGGCCTCTTCCAGACGCAGCTTTCTATGATTTAGGTTTCAGAGCCTGTACTGGCATCACTGAGTTTGGAACTAAGTTCTAATTCTAGACCTACTGTGTGGCCCACCTGGGAAAGGCAGTTTTCAGGCCTCTCGTGGCTATCCCAGCCCTGCTTTGGCTTTCTGCCCCCAGACCCCTCCTCCACCATTCTTTCAAGCTGCCATCTGTCATTCCAACTCCTCTCCCACCAGCTTTGTCCCTGGAGCCCTCCCCAGCTGTCTGCCTCTATGCCCACAGGTACCGGTGATAGCCATCATGGCCACTGGGGGTGGAGCCAGATCCATGACCTCCATGTATGGCCACCTGCTGGGACTGCAGAAGTTGAACCTCCTGAACTGTGCCACTTACATCACCGGCCTGTCTGGGGCCACCTGGTAAGGTGCTGGGAGCCACTGTCTAGTGGACCCCAGAGCAAGCAGCAAACAGGCTGGCCTGGGATTTCTGGTGAAGTTCTACCCGGTCCCACCCCAAGTAAAAGTGACTCAAGACACCAGGGACTCTCTGCCTCCTGCAGTTGTGTGACTTCGGGAATGCAGATTAACTCCTCAGAGGCTCAATTTCTGTATCTGTAAAGTGGGGATAACAATAGCACTGACCTCATGGCTGTGGTGAGAGGCTCTCCCAGTACTAAGTACACAGAGCCACTGTACGTGTTGGCCATTACTGGCAGTTCTGTTTTCTGGGGGCTGTGGCAGGAGCCCAGGAACATAGGAACCAAGGATGAGTGAATCCCTGGTACCACTCTTTTCCTGAAGGGAGACTGTGCCAAGTCTTCTAGGATGAGTGGAGATGGCCCCGCTGCTATGGCTTCCTACCCTCCAGGCCCTCTCAGCCCACCCCAGTCCATTCCTCTGCTCTGTTCAGAGGGCAGGGCAGGGCCCTGCCACAGACTCCCACCTCCCCATCTCTGCTGGAGAGTAAGATGACTGAGCACTGGGCTCCCCAGTAGGAGACAGATCAGGCTGACTAACTTAGATACACTGTGCCTGGGGCACACAGAACTGTCAGGAACCCACAACAATATGTTGTTATTATTATTATTTTTAATAAGAAGGAAAATATGAGCTTCTAGGTTAAATAAAATGTTTTAGTAAATAACATTAATATATTTGTCTTTAAACAACAAAGTCATAACATTTGCTTTTTAAATATTTTTTTTATAGTGGGCCCACCAAAGTCATTGTGTGGCCCTGGTTCAGGATGGCCCTGGTTCAGGGGACTGTGACTACCCAAGGCTTCTCTGCCAGGGCTGCATCTTATTTTGTGGGTGACCGGGGAACTTGGGAACCCACGAGATCCCATTCTGTGCCTTTTATCCTGGAGGAGCTCCAGGTAACTCTCATGTGAGCAAGTGGATGTGAACTGGCCCTGAAAATAATCAAGGACTCTCCTGGCATTGGATCCTCTCATCAGGGGCTCAAGGCTTCAACCCAGTTGGAATAAGAAGCATAGCTAATGGTTATCGATATTGGCTTATGTGCCAAGCACAGTGGTCCCTCAGTATCCCAGAAGGATTGGTTCCAGGACCCATCTCTCTAGAATTCCTCTACAGATTCCAGGAGGAACTGATGTTCAAGTCCCTTATATAAAATGGCATAGTATTTGCATATAAACTACACAATCCTTTCTGTATTTTAAAAATAATCTCTAGATTGTTTATAAAGTACCTAATACAGTATAAATAGTTGTTATCTTATTTAGGGAATAATGACAATGGGGGAAAGTCCATATAGGTTCAGTACAGAGGCATTTTCCCCCAAATATTTTTGATCCACAGTTTGTTAAGTCTGCAGATGAGGAACCTATGGATAAGGAGGACCAACCGTAATTTTTCCAGCATTATTTTACAGCATGAGAAACAAAGCAATTTGCCTGAGGTCACTTGGCTAATAAATTGTAGACCTAGAATTTGAACCCCATCCAGGGCCCACATTCTTAACCCCCATGTTAAACAGCTGCTCCTAGCTAGTGAGCTAAAAAGATAACTTGCTTCCAGTAGGGTTAAGGGACACCTGTATGACCCTAGACTATTGTGGGACAGGCTGGTAATGGGGAAAACCTCAGGCCCAGCCAGGGTGAGGGTGGGAGGGTGGAAGATGTCCCGATGTAGGGAAACATGAGAAATACTCTTTTAAAAATGACCATTGGCAATGGCTTTCAGAAGCTTTTTGAAAGTATAAAAGTAACAAAGCAAACTTTACAGAGAGCAGAGTGATTTTTATCATTCTGGCCAACGTGGCCAACTTTCACCCCTGAAACAAGTTCTGTGAGGGAAGAGGACACCATTCACATATCCATGCAGCTACAGACAAGGTCCACCTCAAGCAGGAAAGTTCTCAGGTGCAGAATAAGCAGGGGCCCTTTCCTGTCCTGACATAGAAACACTGGATCAAGGCCAAGAGGGGCAGACAGGGCCAGACCCAGACTACCTTAGGTTTGTTGCCCTCTAGGACCCACATATAGATTAAGAAGAAGGGGAACTACTTTAGCCAGAATCATCATTGTGGAAATGAATGCAGCAGGGCAGAAAGAACCTGGGATCTGGAATCAGCCAAACCTGCGTTCAAATGTTATTCCCAGCGCTTGCTTTGTGCCAGCCACTGTTCAAGTTTATGCTCTGTTAGCTCATACAATCTTCCCAAGAGAATTGTGGAATGGGGAGAATTCTCCCCATTCCACAGCTAGGGGAACTGAGGTGGAAAGTAGTTAAGTAGCTTGTCTGAGATCACACAGCAGAATGGCAGGGCCTGGTTTTGAACCCAGAAAGGTTTGGGTCCAAATCCTCATCTCAACCAATATGCTATACCCAGCACACAGTAGGCATGGGGAGATAGGAGTAACGGTGATTATGAGTATTGATTGTTGCCCTCCCTCCCTCGCGCCCTCCCTCCACCAGGCCCCGACTCACCCCTTTCCTCCAGGCTCCTCTCCTGGCAGGTTTGGGATTTTCAGTGGCCTGCCCATTTCCCCTCCTGCCTACATCCAGGGTTGATCAGACCAGGGCCAGCTCTCTCAGCCATTCCTGTCTCTCTCCAGGACAATGGCTACTTTGTACCGTGATCCTGAGTGGTCCTCCAAAAACCTGGAGCCTGCTGTCTTCGAAGCCCGGAGACATGCAGTCAAAGACAAGATGCCTTCCCTGTTCCCAGACCAGCTCTGCAGATTCCAGGAGGAACTCCGGCAGCGCAGCCAGGAAGGCTACAGGGTCACTTTTACAGACTTCTGGGGCCTGCTGATTGAGGCCTGTCTTGGGGACGAGGTAGGCATTCAGCTTCCACTGCGCCCCACCGTGCCCTGGCTAATGTGCAGTTCTCTTTCTTCATCAGGGGGTCTGGACTTCCACCTCTGCTCTGGTTAGGTCAGACCTGCAGGTTTGTTCCTAGAATATAAGAACCACGAAGTGCTGAAAAGCATGATGGAAGGTAGTGGGATCCTCATCTCACATCCCCTTTAGAGAATGATTGAGACCCTTGTGTTGGGAACAGGTCAGGTGCACCCTACATGGAAGCAACATGAACTTTTAAAGCCACACCAAGATACCTGAGGCAGAAAATGGGGAGGGAGCTGGGCAGGACTAGAGAGATGCCAACCATGATGGAAGTTTGACTCTAAGTGGAGGAGAGAGGGGGAAAGGTCAAATGGAAACATCCCAGACTTCCAGGTGGTCTAGAAATGTTCAACAAATCCCGTAGAAGACCTTTTAGTCAAAGTTGGCTGTGTGTGGTATCCTGTGTTTCTGAGAATGGGCCTGCCTCAATATCCCTACTGCATTTGGTCAGAGGAAGCACGGTCAGTACAGACTCTGCCTTGGATTTCCAAGCGCAGCAACTGGAGCCCTTCACCAATAACACTGTCAGCAGTTGGAAGTTTGCAGGTCTCATTTTCATGGCCACCACATAGGGAAGACCTATCCAGGTTGCTTTCTGCTCTGGGATACAATGATCTGAGCAATACATGCTCAACAATAGAACCAGCTTGGGACGCAACTGCTGCAAGAATCATGTGAGAAATGGTAGAGCAGGCAGGGGATGTTGTGATCCTGGCCTTCAGAGTGAGCTCCACTCATACTTGGACGCTTCATGCTGCACTGACCACAGGGAGGAACCACCTTTGGTCTGTTGATTGGACCTAAGGCAGAGCTTCCCACTTAATCTCTGTCCAGGACCTCAGCTCCTAATTCCACCTTAATTAAGAATTCAATTATTAATAAATCTGAATTTTCCAGAGGGAGGAGAAGCAGCAAATAATTTTCTAATAGGTCCCCTCTGCTAGAAAATCAACTGAGGATGACTTGATTTAACCAACTGAGGATGACTTGACATTCATCCTCAATATTTATTCATTCCTTCATTCATTCTTTCAACTAAATCATTACCTCTTGCATGCCAGGAACTGGGTTGGCCCCTAGGGATTCAGAAAGGAATCAGACATGGCTTTCAACTCATGGCTTTTGATGGATCCCACCCTGGCTCCTTTGAAAAAACTCCTCATTTAACCTGACCTCCTGATGGAACAGAGCAGGCAGAAACTAAGGGCATTGACTTTCAGATTCTGGCAAGTTGGGGTTGCATGTGACCCTACTCTGCACTATTCCTTACAGAGGATTACATCACTAACTGGTTAATATTTTAACACAATATTTTAAGTTAATAACCTGTGAGATGAGGAGGAGAGCACCAAAGTTTTCAAGGCCAGAAATCTAAGCATTTTGAGGGATCAGTGTAGAGAAAAGGCGTGGTCCTCTAGAAAGCAAGGCTAGAATCGCTGTTAGGGAGCCTCTGTTCTTCTACTCTGGCCATGGCAAGAGCCCCTTTCCCTCCAGCCCTTTTGACAATGAGAGTGGACTAGGATCTTCCAGGAGTCTGCAGGACAGTCAGCTCTGTGACACCCAGATCTATGTACCCAGTTGTGTCAGGTACTCAGTTTTCCTTCAAAGGAGGCCCAAGAGTCATTGGGCCTCCCATGCATTTGCTATCCTAGGGATGGTCATGAAGCAGGCTGCTGCTTGGCTTGGGGTCAGAACCTGGCCTCTAGGACCTCAGCTCTGCCTCGTCTGCATTGATTGATTCATTCTGGGAGATGGTCGATGACCAGGGCTGATCTGCAGGACTTGCCACTCTGATTAACACAGCATAACACTCTGCGGACTTTAACACGCTTTGGCCACCATGTATTGCCCAGATTTCCAAGATTTCGGTTTAGGGGCAAAAATCAAAGAAAAGAAACTTTTTTTTATCCCAAAGTTTATGAGGGAGCCCAACATGCCAAGCTGACTAAACAAAGACCCTGGAGGTTTTCATGTTCTAGGGAGGCAGAAGATAGTAGGAATGAAAAGGGACTGTGGTGGCCTCTCTCACCCTTACTTCATCATCCTCTGAGCCCTGAGACTACAGGAGGACCCTGGGGCTCTCCTAAGCTGCAGATTTGGCTCCTCCCCTGTCTGCAGTCTGGGCTGGTGGATAGCCCAAGGAGGTGAGATACGTTCCCAGGTAGATTTGAGCCAAGTTTGAGCCAGTGATGTGTTGCAGGCCTGTAATCCCAGCAATTTGGGAGGCTGAGGCAGGAGGATCACAAGTTTGAGACCAGCCTCACAACTTAGAGAGACCCTAACTCAAAATAAAAAATAAAAAGATCAAGGTGTAGCTCAGCGGTAAAGCATGCCTGAATCCAGTCCCCAGGACAAAAAAACACACAAAACAAAACAAACAGGTTTGATTGGTGTCAGTTGCAGCTTACACAGCAGCCTGATGGACTTGGGATCCAGGAAAGGACTGCTGAGTGATTTCTAATCCAGGGGCAAGTGGGGTGGGGGTTGCATGTCTGCTGCTTCTCCTTAACTATTTCATTTCCCCATAGAGAAATGAATGCAAACTGTCAGAGCAGCGTGCTGCTTTGTGCCGGGGCCAGAATCCCCTGCCTATCTACCTCACCATCAATGTCAAGGATGATGTAAGCAACCAGGATTTCAGAGGTAACACTGGTGGCTAGTGATCTAGGAGAGGGTAACTTCTTGATTGGCAAAGGCACCCAGAACCCCCAAGGTCCACCCCCTAACCCCACACATACTTTGCCAACCCACATCAAAAAATTGTGCCCACAGTTGAAGAAATCAACTTAGTTCCCCCATTCTGCCCTGCCCCTTGAGTGGGACTGGTGGGCAGAGTCCCTTAGCTTAGCTTACTGGGTGCATTTGATGGGACAGAGGGAAATATAAGTAAGGAGAAGGGAAGGAGTCCTAGACATTTCTTAAGCTTCCTAGAGGGAAGGGCCATGGAGACCTACTCTGCAGTAGGGTCACTTTGGGTCCTCTTTTATCTGTCCTTGAGCAACAATAGAGAGCCAAGTGTGGTGGTATCTGCCTTTAATCCCAGCTACTCTGGAGGCTGAAGCAGGAGGATCATAAAGTAAAGTCCAGTCTGGACAACTTAATGAGACTGTCTCAAAACAAAATTTTAAAAAGGGCTAGGGATGTGGCTGAGTGGTAGAATGCTCCTGGGTTCAATCCCCATTGCGGGAGTTGGGGGTGGGGGAAGCAAAAGGACCAGGCGAGCAGTTTGCAAAGCTTTGACTAGTCTGCATAGGCCGGTCGCGGGCGCCCCCGTGTGCTCCATAGGAGAACTGCAACCTCCTAGTTGGAGGAACCTAAGGGCCCAGAAGCCAAGGCTGGTTGGCAGGTGGGAGGGCTGGGCTGAGTGGGCGTGGCTCCGTGATCTGAAACTGACTCTTTCCCATGCCGCTTCCTGTGCAGAATGGTTCGAGTTCTCCCCCTACGAGGTGGGCCTGCAGAAGTACGGGGCCTTCATCCCCACGGAGCTCTTTGGCTCAGAGTTCTTTATGGGGCGGCTGATGAAGAGGATCCCTGAGTCGCGGATGTGCTACATGCTAGGTGACTCCTGGCTGGGGGACTCCCCTGAGCATGCACTCCTAGCTGGGCAGGCCCTGGTTTTGAACAGAGGAATGACAGAAAGGATCTTGCCCCAGATCTGGCCTGGGTAGTCCTTGGTTAGCCCTTGAGCACGTGGCCTTCCTGGCATTTGCTGACATTGCCTTATCCCAGGAGGGGTTTCTGAACCTACCCCCACACCAACCTCTCAGACTGCCTGATCTGCCCGCAGCCCTTTAAGCCCAGAAAGGCTGACAGTGGTCCAACTCAAGTCCCATCTCTTTTGTGAAGCCCATCCCAAAGCCCCCAGCCCACAGTTGCCTCTTCTTCCCCTAAATATCTATGTTATTGGTTATGTGGTTCAAAAACCTGAAGTTAAAACCCTTAGAACTGAACTCTGGTTCTTCATTTATTGACTGTGTGAAGTGGGCTAAATTATCTAACCTCTCTGAACCTCAGTTTTCTTATCTGTGAATTGGTTTAAGAGTAAAACCTATCTAGCCAGGCATGGTGGCTGATGCCTAGAATCTTAGCTACTTGGGAGGCTGAGGCAGGAAGCTTTCAAGGTAGAGGCCAGTCTCGGCAGCTTTTTGAAACCCAATTTCAAAATGAAATAAAAAAGGTCAGGATATAGCTTAGTGGTAGAGTGCTTGCCTAGCATTTGCAAGGCCCTGGGTTCAATCTTCAGTACTTGAAAAATTAAAAAAAAAAAATCAAAGTAAAAACCTACTTTGTAGAAGATCCCAATGGATCAATACATATGAGAAATTTAAAACAAGTTTTATTAATATTACATCTGTTAAATAATAAGAAATAGCATTATATATGTCAAGTGCTCATCATATCCTAAATGCTTTAGCTGTGTGAACTGATCCAAGGGGTAGACCTGGACTTGAAGCTGCACTTGTCAGTGTCTAGCCCCTGCTGCGGGTGTGCCCTGTACACCTTCCCAGATGCTACCTATACTGAGGGGAGGGAAAAGAGCTGAGGGCTGGCACCAACAGTCACCAGGGCAGAAGGAAATCAAAGTCTGTACCACCCACTGAGCAGTCTGGCCCGAGGAGGAATCAAGGCCAAGGCAGAACCATCAGGTCTATGAGGGCTCCTGGAGAGAACTGTTCACGGCTGCTCTGCTTCCCTAGGTTTGTGGAGCAGCATCTTCTCCCTGAACCTGCTCGATGCCTGGAATCTGTCCCACACCTCGGAGGAGTTTTTCCACAGGTGGACGAGGAAGAAGGTGCATGACATTGGTGGGTGACCCACTGGCTTCCCCTCATGATTAGGTGTGTGTGGGTGGGATATGAACCATGAACGGAGGACCCTGTGCCTGCCACATGTTCCCACATTGTATCTATGGCCCAGAGAAGGTAGCTGGGTTGGAATGTCACCCTCCAGGCAGGGTGATTATAGGTGGAACCTCTACCAAGGCCCAGGAGGACACCTCCAGTGCCCAGGAGAGCTGATGAGAGCAGGGATCTGTGCACAGTTAAAGGTCGCTCTTGTGGACTCTGTCCTCTCTGGTACCTCCTTATTGAAGGCCCACCCTCCCCTCTCCACTACCTGTCCCTGTTCCATGCCACTCAGCTGGGTCCTTCTGGTTGTGGGGCCAGAGTCTTGAGAGCTGGGCAAGGAAGGTCACTTATAGTGACTCACCCCAGGCCCAGGTGGTGCTTCACCTGGGCAATCCGGGGACCCAAACTCTTGTGACCTGCCTTCCATCCCTCTCCCCTGCAGAAGATGAGCCGCTCCTGCCTGAAATCCCCAAATGTGATGCTGACATCCTGGAGACCACAGTAGCGATTCCTGGGTCTTGGCTATCCAATACTTTCCGAGACATCCTTACCCATCGGCCCTTCGTGTCTGAGTTCCACAACTTCATGTTTGGGCTGCAGCTACATACTGACTACCTCCAGAACAGTCAGTTCTCCATGTGGAAAGGTACTGCTGCCAGGGTGCTTCTCCAGGGCTGGGTTTGTTGGGAGGAGGGAGAAGAGGATATAGAGGCTGCCATGGAGAAAGAATAAGAAGACTCCTCTGGCCACCATCATCAGATAGAATCCAGGTCCACCTTTGGCAGTATCACCCAGCATGGAGTATTTGTGTGCCAGCAGGGGGTGGTGTGGTATTTAATTAATTGACTATATAACTGTACAGAATCTGCTCAACAATCCCAGCAGCAGAAACTGGACCCATTCCCCATATTGGGGAAATATGGACCCTTACTTTCTGCAGTTGTGCTCTGGGGTGAGTGGTGTCCCATTGGAGTTGGGCAAGAATGGCCCAACTCATAAACCCCAAGGGGTGAGCAAGACCTTAACCTATGCTCTGGTGCCTTTGACTCAGCACCTCCTTCCCCAAGAAGGTTCCAAGGTTGACTTTCTACTTTCTTTGGTATTTTATTTGACCAGAGTGCAATGACTGCTTGAGTCTGGCCTATTAGTCCTTGTTCTCACAGTCTAGGGCAGAAGAGACAGCAGGCCTGGGCCCAAGGTTAGCCTTAACTTATAGGATGTTCTTAAGCCCCTGCGACCCTTAAGACCCGCTGTGACTGGATCACAGTGGGTTTTCTATGCATAACCAAGATTTGCTAAACCCCTATTTTATTAGCCTAAACAGAGGAGCCATGGGACTCAATGGCAACCTGGTCAGAGGGCGAAGGCTGGAGGCCCAGGCTGAGGGGAAGGAGGCTCTAGGCAGGGTACTCTGTCCACACCAGAAGCCCCACCCTTGGCTGACACTAGGGCACTAATCATATTGGTAACCAGAAGGCTTGGCTTTCAGACACGGTGCTGGACCACTTCCCAAACCAGCTGACAGAGTTTGCAAAACACTTGTGCCTGCTAGACACCGCTTTCTTTGTCAACTCCAGCTACCCGCCTCTCCTCAGGCCAGAGAGGAAAGCCGACCTCATCATCCACCTCAACTACTGTGCAGGGTCCCAGACGAAGGCAAGTACAGCCAGCTGGGCTCCACCTGAGCCCTGGGGCCTGGGAAGCAGTGCCACACCTCAGAGGCCTCCATACTTTGTAAATAAATGACAGTGTCCTTACACAGCTCTTTGAGGTAGACAGCACAGCTGCTATTATCCCAGTGTTACAGATGAGAAAACTGAGCTGTAGGGAGGGTAAGTGACTTGCTCAATGTCACACAGAAAATGAGCTATTTAACAGGTGTGGAACTAAGTCCAGTACTCTTTCTGTTGCATCACATTTCTTTAAAAATATTTTTAGTTGTAGATGGACACAATATTTTATTGATTTATTTTCATGTGATGCTAAGGATGGAACCCCATGCCTCACACGTGCTAGGCAAGTGCTCTTCCACTGAGTTACAGCCCCAGCCCACATCACATTTTTAAAGGCACATTTCAGAGTCCAGCCCTGTGACACTTGTCAGTTCCAAAATCCATGCATATCCACAGGAGCCTGGCCTGCCACACCTGTACATGGCCAGCTCCAGTCACTGTCACACCCACAGCCTGCCCGGGTCTGTGTTGGGTGAAACATCATCAACATCCTTCCTGGGGAAGGAGCTCAAAGCTGCAGGCGTACCAACCTACTGCCTCAGGTTTTTTTGTCCTGACCTGCTTTTTTCTAAATGTATCCAAACTGGGCAATCAGTTGGGAACTGGAATTGTTAGCTAGAGAAGTCAGGAAGCTGGATCCATGGACTCTGTGTGTCTTGTCCATCCCCAGCCCTCCAATCTCAAACATGTCCTCTGGTGATATTCTAGCCCCTGAAACAAACCTGCGAATACTGCACCACGCAGAACATCCCCTTCCCCGGCTATGAGCTCCAGGATGAGGACGGCAGTCTCAAGGAGTGCTACCTGCTGGAACATCCCCAGGACCCCGATGCCCCCATTGTGGCTTTCTTCCCACTCATCAATGACACCTTCCAGAAGTACAAGGCACCGGGTGAGCCGCCTCTGTCTGACTCTGTCCCCAGCACCTGCTGGCTCTTGTCTTTAGACTGTGGAAGTGTCCTGATAGCACTAACCCGTCAGGCTGGCTGAGCCAACCTTTGGACGGTTGGAAATGTCATCTCCAACTCTTTTAGTCCTTCAACACTCATTGACATCCAACTGTGTGTCTGGCACTGTTTGGTGCCAGGAGAGTCCTAAGATGGACCCCAAGGAGCTTAGAGGGTGCGGGTAAGCATGTGAGTGTGCATGCTGTCCATGTTTTCATGCAGATATGTCTGTTAGTGCATGCAGGGTGGGCGGGGGGAAAGAGGTGGAAACAAATTCTTACAACCTGACATAGTAAGAGTCTCCAGTGAGTCCCTCTGCTGCCCCCAGGTGTGGAGAGGAGCCCTGAGGAGATGGAGCTGGGCCAGGTGGATATTTATGGCCCCCACTCCCCCTACGCCACCAAGGAACTGACCTATACGGAGGCTGCCTTTGACAAACTGGTGAAACTCTCTGAGTACAACATCCTGAATAACAAAGACAAGCTCCTTCAGTCTCTGAGGCTGGCGGTGGAAAGGAAGAAACGTTTCAAGAACCAGTGTCCTTCCTAAGCCCCTGGCAGCCCGTCCATCCTGTATCTGCTTCTCCTGTCAGTGGCCCGGACTCTGTGGCCTGTGCAGGTAGCCCAGCTCTCTAGCCAGCGGTGCAGGCAGGCTTGCCTGGGCTTCCTATAAAAAGTAACATTTTAAAAAGGGGAGAGAAACAAAGGAACATAACCAGGAGCCATATTGGGGTTTTATACTCCTAGGAATTTATTTTACCACTTTCCCGCAGGGAAGGCCACAAGCTCCCACGCATACCTCGAGTGTGAAGAGCAGAAACTGGCTGGTTTCCAAGAAATTTCAGACTCAGAACAGGAAGTGGAAGCTGTCCAACAGTCCTACCCTCTCTAACTCCTCTTCCTCCTCCCATGGCAGGCCTAGGGGAATGCACAGGAAGACTGAAAAGTACTCTGGGTTTCTCTGGAAAAATACTTTTTAAATTTTAAGATAATAATTGCATTCTTATTATTTTTATAATCAATAACATTTTGTGATTTTTTTTTTTACTTTTATGAATCAAGGTATTAATAGGAAGCCTAAAGCTAGAAGCTAGGCCAGGTGTCTCTAGATGGAGAGCTAGAGACATACTGGTCTCTACCACCATAAAGCCAAAGAGGTGATCCACGTTGGTGTAACCTGTCCAGCCACCCTGGGCTGGTGATACACATGATCCACACCAGGCAAAGTATCCACCTCCATGAAATGCCAAGCAAAGCCAATTCTGCGGCTCAGGCTCACAGACAAGGATCTGGGATGCAATTCAGGGAGGTCTGGGCAGGCCACAGGTAAATCGCTCCAGGTGGGCCATGCTGGCCAGCATGGCTGATGCTCACTGTTGAACTTGCCCCAGCATCACTCAGCTCTTACCACCATATCACTCTGGCTTCCAGAAGAGATTATTTCTTTCTAAGTGTGATTCCTCTTATTTATCATGTAAACACCCCAATCAGGACATCCTATCTTTTGGCGATTGACTCAGAACCAAACTATCAAGGATGAGCTCAGAAAGGTGAGGAGAGAGAACTCATCCTGAGAGATGGCTTCTCACCAAGTTGCTGGAAAAGCCCTAGGACACAGAGAAGCTCAATCAACATAATCAACATAACCTCTGCAGGCTGGGGACTTCACTGAAGAAAGGTGCAAGCTGAGCCATGAGGATGCCTTCACCAGATAGAAGGTGAAGCCAAAAGGGCAGAAGGACATGTGGTCCAAGTGAAGCCCAGCAAGCTTGGAAGGCACCACTCTCTTTCTGGACATCCATGCTCCTTGAATAGTCCTCTGGTTGTTGGGAAAGTGGTGATAAGGTATCCAAAATTTAGAAAAAAATGGGCTCCCATTTACTTCCTCATACTCAGTGTGATGTGGTGTTGGTTAGAAATGCAGACTCACAGGTCCCACCCAACCATGAGGAATGGAAACTGCATTGCAAGGAGACTCAGCCCCATCCCCACCCTGCCCAGATGATTCTTTGTGTGTTAAAATTTGGAGCATGGATTTATGCCACTTTCTCCCATAACCTTGGAAAGCATGAATCCATTGACTCTCTTGAGCCCCTGATAAACAGGGCTTCTAGACCTGCAAAACTGGTCCCTACCCAGGTGAGGCTAACCTGAAATGTTGCCCTTTCCTCCACCAGAGCAAGCAGCTATAGGGAACAGGCTCCCCAGCAATCAGAACATACCAAGCTACGGACTTGGTTGTTGTAAGGTGAAGTTAGCCATGCATTGAATTCATCAGAACATGCAAATGAAGTTAATAAAATCGTTGTATTATTTGAACACAGAATAAATGGCCATGTCGCTAAAGGTTGTCAGTTCATCTGCGTTCATTATCTGAGGATGCAAAACAGGAGTAGCTCCTGCCCTCATCCTGGGTCTGGCTCCCATAATGTTTTTCTCCCTCCAGGACCCCTCCTCACCACTGCTGGAGGCAGGAACAGGCCGTCTCCACCCCCATGCCAACTCAGATGCCTTTATTTCCTACCCCTGGGTCCCACTTCTTGTGGTGAGGTCTCCTCTGTTTACATGAAGTCAGCTGCTTCAAGCCCAGATGTTTTTCAGGAAATTGATTGAGGGGAAGAAAAGGCAGTTGGCAACAACAGAGCACCTACTCTGTGCCAGCAGCCTATAAACAATCTCTGTTCTGGAACTTGGGTTTTAGTTGGGCAGAGGGGAGACATGGAGAGATTTTAATACATGAGAAATTAAACAATGACTTAGATAATAAAATGACGCATTTGTCATCAACTCTGATAGGAGAAAGCATAATGACCTGCAGAGGTCCAGGAGGCTTTCTCTCAGGTCCCCAGCACTCTGCCTAGAAGCACGATTAACTAGAAAATATAAAAACAATCCCTCCAACTCATCCTGTTTCCCCATCTCCTTCCTGGCTGAGGCCCATTCAGTATGTTTTTTGCCTCTACATCCCCAGGAAAACACTTCTCTCCAAGGTCACCAATGTCCTCCATGGAGCAAATGCCACCGGCCCTTCAAGTTCTTATCTTACTCAATTGTTTTCAGCACTTGGCACTGCAGACCACTCCCTCCTCCCTGAGACCCTCCCTTCCCATGACTTCCTTGCCAATGGCAATGGTTGTTCCATTCCATTTAGCTTGCAGACAAGTATTGCCTGCCAGTTACTGTTGCAGGTACTGGGACAATAAAAAGGAGTTAAAAGTGACTTGAAACTTCAAGGAGTGTCCTTCTGGTCCTGTGTGGGAGGCCTGCATGTGAGTTATGTACAAAAGGGCACACAGCAGGGCTCTCACCCCAACCACCTCCACAGGGAAGGGCCAGGTTACTTGGACACCTGCCAACTTGAGTCCTGGATTTCTGCCCACTGCAAGGTAGGAGCCCTTCCTCCTGCTGCTCCTCCCCTACTTCTCTTTAACTGCTGATATTCCACAGGTTCCTTAGCTCTCCCAACTTCTCACTCTATATTCTCACTCTATATTCTCCTTCTCACACACACACATTTTAGTCTTCCTATGCATTCCCCTGTGTGTGTGTGTGCGTGTGTGTGTGTGTGTGTGTGTGTATTCTGTACCCATTAACATTAGTTTCACTATATAACCTAAAGATCTAAAATTCCAGTGGCTTAAGCAAAATAAACATTTATTTCTCTATTTCATATCAGAGACCCAGGCTTCATTAAGTTCTCTTTTGCCATCCTCAAGATTGCCAAGATTGTCAAACATCACAGCTGGAGCTCCACCCATTAGGTTTGCATTCCAGGCAACAGAGAGGATAAAGAGGTCTTGGTTTTTGCAGATATGACATCACCAAATCAGACATGCACTGCTTATTTCTGGATTTCTTTTATGTGAAAGAGAACTAAACTTTTATCTGAAGATGATTAGAATTACCAGTGGTTCCTGCTATCTATTCCTAAGCAACAAACCCCCTCAAATCAAAAGGGCATAAAATAATTGCTTTTTTATTATGCTCACAGATTTCTGTGGTTTAGGAATCTGGAAAGGTTACTTTCTGGTCTCCGCTCCATGTTTGGGGCCTCTTCTGGAATGACTCGGTGGCTGGGTGTGGAGAAACTGGGGCTAACAGATTCACTTCCAGGATGACTCCCTTGCTCGTATGCTGGGGCTTGGGCTGGGAAATTCAGGATGGATGAAGGATGGGCTCAGCTAGGACTGTCAATGAGAGCACCTTCATGTGACATCCCCAGCACGGTCAGCCTTCTCAAATGGCACTCAGGGTTAAAAAAAAAAAAAAAAAAACCACAAAATTTATGATTGCAACCATTTTTAAGCGCACAGTTCAGTAATGCAGCAGACCTCCATAACTTTTACGATTTGCAAAACTGAAACTCTATACCCATTAAATAACTCCCCATTTCTCCTTCTTCCAACCCCTAATAGCCGTTACTCTATTGTTTCTATGAATTTGACAACTTTAGAAATCTCATGTGAATGGAATCACACAATATTCATCTTTTGTATTTCTTTTCCATTTGATGCTGGGGATTACCCAGGTCTTTGAACACACTAAGTACATGCTCAGTCACTGAGCTACATTCTCAACTCCATATTTGTCTTTTAAAACCTAGTTTATTTCACTTACTGTAAGGTCCTAAATTTAAACCCATGTTGTGGCATGAGTAAAACTTTCCTCCCTTTTCAAAGCTTTTACATATATATCAGTTATTTCTACAACTGATACATATATCAGTCATATAGAGATATAGATAAACCTCAGCTGATAAATGTATACTTTTTATAAACATAACATATATGTAACATTTTGTTTAGCCATTCATCCTTTGATGGACATTTGGGTTGTTTCTGACTTTTGGCTATCGTGAATAATGCTGCTGTAAATTGGAGGGCACAAACACCTCCTTGAGACCCTGCTTTCCACTCTTTGGGATATACATCTAGAAGTGGAATTGCTTGATCATATGATAATTTTATTTGAATTTTTTGAGGCACCACCATACTGTTTTCCATTGCATTTGCATATACATTGTAATCTAGCCTTTCTTTACTTCAAAATATACTCCAAACATTTTTGCAGATCATTAGTAGTCTTCTCATATGACACAATTTTCAATGACTGAATAGGATTTCTTTATTTGCTTAACTAATCCTTCATGGAAGACAACTAGTTACAGCTTTTTGTTATTATAAATGTTATGCTGATAAACAGCCTCTTGGATGAAGCTTTTTTTCTTCTTTTTTTTTTTTAAAGAGAGAGTGAGAGAGGAGAGAGAGAATTTTTTTTTTAATATTTATTTTTAGTTCTCGGCGGACACAACATCTTTGTTGGTATGTGGTGCTGAGGATCGAACCCGGGCCGCATGCACGCCAGGCGAGCGCGCTACCGCTTGAGCCACATCTCCAGCCCTTGGATGAAGCTTTACATTTCCTATTTCTCAAGATAAATTTCTTCAGGGTAAATTTCCAAGTCAAAATTATAAGCACTTTTAACAACTAATAAAGGTCTAATTGACATATAATCAACTTCATATACCTAAAGTATATAATCTGTGAATTTTGGCATATGTATACAACTGTGAAATCATCATCATAATCAAGGTAATGAATAAAACCTTCACCAGAAAAGCTTTCTCATGTCCTTTGAGATCTTTCTTTAGCTCTGTCCTGCTGGATCAAGTGGTATGTGTGTGTTTAACTTTTTAAGAAACTGCCAAACTATTGTACCATTTCCTTCCTTTTCAAAACACACACACACACACACACACACACACACACACACACACACTTTGCATTTTCCCAATGACTAGTGATGTTAAACATTTTTTCATGAGCTTCTTTGCCCACTATATATCTTCTTTTGTGAAGTATCTCTTGATCTTTTTCCCATTTAAAAAAATGGATTGTTTGCTTTCTTATTAAATTTCAAAATGTCTTTATATATTCTGGGTACAAATCATTAATCAGATATGTGATTTATAAATATATTCTATAAGTCTTCACCTTGTCTTTCCATTCTCTTAATAGTCCTTTCAAAGGTCAGAATTAATTTTGATGAAGTACAATTTATCAAATTTTTTCTTTGTATGAATTATGCTTTCAGTGTTATCTAGAAATTTATGTGTGTGCATGCATGCATGTGTGTTGCTGGGGACTGAATCCAGGGTTTTGAGCATATGAGGCAAGTGCTGTACCAACTGAACTACATCCCCAGTCCCCTAAAAAGTCCTTCCTTAACTCAAAGTCACACAATTTTTCTCCTATGTCTTCTTCAAAAATTTTTTATGATTTTAAACTTTACATTTAAGCCTAGTGTTCATTTTGAGTTAATTTTTGCACATAGTGTGAGGTATGGATAAAAACTTGAATTTTTGTATACAGATATTCTATTGTTCTAGTGATATTTTTGTTTTGTTTTGGTGTTGGGAATGGAATACAGGCTCTTAAATGCTAAGCATATGCTCTACCACTGAGATATACCCTGAGTTCTTCAATTCAAATTAAGATGGCTATGCTGTCACTGGATGATATAATCTTATGAGAGCACTGTTGTGATATGTGGCCTGTTGTTGACCAAAACATCATTAGTGATGCATGACATATTAGATTATCTTTCTATCAGTTACTGCATTATCTTGATTTCTGTATCTTGATTAGTCTTGAAATGAGATAGTATAAGCCCTTCAATTATGTTACTTTTTTATTTTCAAAATTGTTTTGGATGTTGTAAGTCCTTAGCATCTACATATGAAATTTAAAATCATTTTGTCAATTTCTACTAAATTAAAAATTGCTAGGATTTTTATTGCACTGAATCTATACATCAATTTGGTTAAAACTAACATCTTAACAATATTGAATCTTCAATACAATGTATTTAGGCCTTTTTATTTCTCTTAGAATGTTTTGTGGCTCTCTATACATAGGTATACCTGTTTTTATTAGGCTTATTATTAAGTATTTCACAGTTTTGTTGTTTTGGCAAGTGATATTAATTTTTCATTTTAATGTCCAATTGTTTCTAATATATAGAAATATAGATGGTTTTGTACTTTTTTTTTTATACTGGGACTTGAACCCAGGGACACTTAACCACTGAGCCAGATCTTCAGCTCTTTTCTATATTTTATTTAGAGACAGGGTCGTGTTGAGTTACTTAGGGCCCTGCTAAGTTGTTGAGGCTGGCTTGGAATTCGAGATCCTCCTGCCTCAGCCTCCCAAACCATTGGGATTACAGACATGCAGCATTGCGCCCCGCTGTATGTGTATCTTGAATCCAGAAATCTTGCTAAATTTTCTTAATATCCCTAATAGTTTTCTGTCTAGATATATAACAATTTATTTATCCATACTCCT